ATATTCATATTCAAGTGCATGAAGAGATTATGACAATGCATAAAATGCAAGTATAACTTTAGATATGTGAAAAAATGTTAGTTAGAAGAACATTAAATTAAGTTAATTATTTGTTAAAAAATAAAGATAATTATTTATTAAAAGATAAAAAAAAACTATATTATATTTTTTTATTAAATCTTACAGTATTACAAATTCATATTTTTCTATGAAATCTATAAAATTCATTAAAATATTACAACAAAAATTTATAAAAATCTATTAAAATTCATTAAAATCTAAATTACAAAGTCTGATCAATTAAAATCTAAAATTTAAAATATTTTAAAAAAATCTTAAAAATAATAACATTTCTATTAAATCTTTTAAAATCTATTAAAATTCATAAATAAAAAATTCCATATTAAAATTATCTTTCAAAATCTCAATCAATACACTCTTCTTAACTTGTACGCTTTGAATGGAAATATACTTGATGAAAAAGTTAAAAATAAAATAAAAATAGACTGCGATTCTTTTTGAAACACGATAGACTAGGATTTTATATGATGTTACGATAAGATCCCCAGTGATACGTATGCAATAATGTAAAACTAAGGACCCCATGATTCATATCTGACTTTATATTTTTTGGTTTGTATAGTTTTGCATGAGACGAATTGGGACAAATACATGGACGCCTAGGTGGACCACAAAATTGTATGGTTTCTGAGGCTGAAAGGAAAACCGAACAATGTAATGCCGTACAGTTTGGAAGATCCTGACTCCCGAAAGGCATGAAAAATCCATGGCAAAAACATGCAACATCATCAAACTCTCCTCATACACACAAAAAATCTCAAACTTTCCCCTTCCCCTTCACTTCACAGTCTACATTCAGAGAACCACTCATCACTCATCATTCAATTTTCTCTCTCCTTTTATTATTATTTTTTTGTGTGTCCAAAGTGTTCTAAAAATTAAATAATAATGCTCGACCATTTTTTTACCTTGAAATATTTGATTTAACTGCAAAAATCCTAAAGTTCGACAAATCCTTCTGAGATAAATCTAAGTGATGGAACTATATAGATACCATATTTTTATTAACTCAAC